CTTATTTTTATTTTTTATTGAAACAAAGTCTTGCTGTGTTGCCCAGGCTGGTCCTAAACTCCTGTGCTCAAGTGATCCTTCCACCTCAGCCTCCATAATAGCTAGGATTACAGGCACATGCCACACAGCACCTGGCTATTACCATTCTTTTAGTTGGTACCCCCAGATAGGATATGATTAAAATTCATTAGCATGACATACATGGGTCCTCATGATCTGCCAGCAGTTATTCTCAACACTGTTCCCAGATTGACTGATATATACCTTACTCACTCGCTATATGAGAACCATACTTTCAGGTCTGAATGCCTTTGCCTATGTTATTCTGTCCATGCTCTTCTTACATTTATCTTCTTCTTTCACTTGTCCGCTTGATACACTGCTTTCCATTTTAAAGATTTGACTCAAATTTTAGGAAGCTTTCTTGACTCTTTCACATCTTTTACATTTTTTAACATATTTTCTGTTTCTTTGCCAAAATTGTCAATCTTGTCTTTCATCCCCTTGATCACAGTAAACATAGCTATTGTAAGGTGTGTATTTGATAGTTTCACTACATGAATCCTTATGAGTCTGTTTCTATGGTCTGTTGTTTCTGATGATTCTCTTTCATGTAATCTTGTCTCTTTTTATGTCTGATTTTTTTCTTTTTTAAACAAGGTCTTACTCTATCTCCCAGGTTAGAGTGCAGTGGCATCATCATAGCTCACTGCAACCTCAAACTCCTGGGCTCAGGTAAGCAGTTCTGCCTCAGCCTCCCAAGTAGCTGGGACTATAGGTGTGTGCCATGATGCCTGGCCAATTTTTCTATTTTTTGTATAAATGGGATCTTGCTCTTGCTCAGGCTGTGATTATTTTTGATTGTGTGTTGGAATTTGTATTTAAGAATTGTAGAAATAATTTGAAGCCAGAATAGTATATGTCTTTAGAAAAGCTTTAATTCTGTAAGAAAATTAAACACTTAGTCCCCTAAGTAGGGTTGCCAGATAAAATATAGGATACTCAGTTAAATTTGAATTTCAGGTAAACAATGAATTTACTGTAATTATGTCCCAAATATTGCATGAGACATACTTAATATTAAAAATTACAACATTAATCTGTCATTCACATTTAACTGAGTGTTCTGTATTTTCATTTGTTAAATCTAGCAACCCAACTCTTAAGGCATCTATTTTATATGATAAATTATCCCATGCACCTCTAGAATGGTGCTAGTTATGAGAGAATTGAGAAAATACTCAGATCATTTTCTTTTTTCTGTAATTCAGATGAGATGACCTGATTGAAAAATGTTGCTCTAGGGAGTGCTTCTGCAAAGCTCTTGGAAGCACTAGTAATTCAATATCATCTTAATACAATTTCAGGGATTGAAATAGTTTGAAGCTGGGTGACAGTTCCTGGAAGAGCCATTCTACTTTTGTCAAAAGCTCTGTTCAGCCAGCTTCTTCCTGAAGTGTCAGACGCCCTCAGGGAAATATTGGCCTAAATGCTGGCTCATATCTTTGAATTTCTGTATAGATCTTAACCTTATAATTTTCTTTTTTACTATCCCACTAGCTTCATGATGCATTCAAGTGGATTTTAAAAGATTGTCCAACTTTTCTAGTTGCCTTCAGCAGGAGGGTTGGCCTAAATTACTTAATCTGTCATTGCTGGAAGCAATGTATAATTTTGAAACAGCAAAAGAAAAGAGCCATTGTTAAACTCTAGGTCAGGATCTGTCTGAGTGGCACAAAATACTCTCTTTAGGAAGGAAAGAAAGTATTATATTTTATATATAATTTCAACCTATGTTCTTAAAATATATATGATCTGAAACAAAATGTGAAATAAATCTACCTAAGGGACTTTTATCTATCTGGAGACTAACAAGCTTCAGTGTTAACTTATCAGGAAACACTATTAACCACTTAGATTTTAATATGTTAGGTAATATGTTCTTATTGCTTGGGTGGAATAGGAAATGACATGATTTTTGAAATGGTTAGTATTGAAATCAAAAGTCCTATTGCTGTCTTCATACATGTTTTCTGACTCACTTAAAACATTTTAAAAGTATACTAAAGTCAATGTAATGTGAACTGATGAATTGGAGAATTGGTTGTTTCCTGTGTGGTGTTCTATGTGTTTGGCACTTTGTGGTTCTATACACCATTTTAGAAACACACAACCACCCAATTCCCATAGTTATACATGAATGCGTGTCAGAATTCATCTCCAAGTTGTTTTTTTAAAAAGTTTGCAGCCAGGAATGGTGGCTTGTGCCTGTAGTCTTAGCTACTTTGGAGGCTGAGGTGGGAAGATCGCTTGAGCTCAGGAGTTCAAGGCCAACATAGCAAGACCTCTGTCTCTTAAACAAAATAAAAAAAGAAGTTTGCATTTTCTCTGGTTCTTATAGTTTTAAAATACTGTCCTTAATTTCTGTCCCTAAATAACATAACTATAGTACACAACCCATTTCAAAACTTATAAATGTTGTAGTAGAAATAAATATTTTTGCTCTTTTTAAAAAAGTTTTTAAAAGTATTTTCCTCTATAGAGAGAATATTTAGTTTCTCTCTTGATGATCAAATCTTTAAGTGGTGTAGTTATAAAATAAGCAATTAAATGTCTTTTAATTTTTCATTAGCTTTAATAAAAAATTATTGTAAGCCTGTCTAAAGTTTGTATTTCTGAATTTTTTTTTAAAGAGTTACGAAGTTGCAACTGCCCTAGAAAATCAAAGCCACAAAATTCGGTATTCAAATTCAGTGGAAAATGGATCAATTATATTTTCTCTTTCTGGTATGGTATATTTGCTAACTGCCCTGATTGAAGTTTCTTATAAAATATGTGGGTATACATTTTAATAATTTAATAGTAACCATGTAATAAGCTTAAGGTGTTATCTTTTGGGAGAGGTAAATGTATAACACTTTGTTACTGCTGCAAAAGCAGTGCATATATCCAACTATAAAATATATTCCTTTTTTAGGTTACAGTTGTTACAATAGAACTGAAGAAGTGGAGTCTGGTGGACAATGGAAAAAACTACTTGCTTTAGAACTGAGATAAATAAAAATAGAAAAAGCCACTTCCCAAACAATCAATACTTATGTTAAAATATTATCTGTATTAACAGAGACCAACATCACAATGCAGAAAAAGAAGTTTGCATTTTCTCTGGTTCTTACAGTTTTAAAATATTGTCCTAAATTTCTGTTCCTAAATAACAACAAAACTCAAAATTCATATACAAAAAAAAAAAAAACCCAACAACATAAGGAGAATGTTTTTCATGATTTTGTATGAGACTTTGGTGAATATAATATAAATAAATATTAACAAATTAAAAAACCGTATGAGGACAAATAAATGTTACTGAAATTATAAAACTATACAACTGTGAGTCATGGAAAAAGTATAGGAAGGAATTAGATTAGGATAAGAGAAGGCTGGGGAAATGGGAAGGGAGCAGCTTCACCTGTGCTTGAGAAATGACAGACATGATAAAAGAAGTGGAGGTAAAGGATTTTACCAGGATGGCTGCAAATAGACCTCTACTCTAGCAGAGGTTTTGGAAAGCAAGTGCTTTGGAAAGCTCCGAGAATAGACCTCTAGGCTGAAAGCAGTCCAGCCTTAAACTCATTCTTCTGTTGAATAGAGAGCCCTTTATGGAGAGATAAACTATTTTTGGTGAATACTCCTATGTGCCTTGGCCATTTTATATGCATTATCTTATTCATACCTTCTGACAAACCTAACAAAGAATTATTATTCCCATGTTACAAATAAGGAAACTGATGCTCAGAGAGGTTATATACAAAGCCCAAGTTCACTCAATTAGTATATAATCACATAGTCACTTTCCTCAGATTAAGTCTTTCTCACATCTTTTGAAGAGCTATAATTAAATCAAGTTTCCCTTCAGGACCATTCTTACAGGCCCGACACTGTTTCAGAGGTCCCAGATATCTGCTCACTGAGTGTATTAATTTATATAATTCTTTACATTCTGGTAGAAAGGTTTCTCTGAGAAATAACTGAAGGCTTACTTAAGACTACCTTTCTTTAGTTGATTTCCAGCTTTTAAAAATCATTATAGAAAGAATCCTTATTCAATAAATGGTGCTGGGAAAACTGGATAGCCACATGTAGAAGACTGAAGCAGGATCCTCACCTTTCACCTCTCACAAAAATCAACTCACGCTGGGTAACAGATTTAAACCTAAGGAGTGAAACTATTAGAATTCTAGAGGAGGATGT